ATGACACGTGTACACAGTAGTACACATCCACACATAGTAATGGTGTCTCTGTGTACACAGAAGTACACATCCACACATAGTAATGGTGTCTCTGTGTACACAGAAGTACACATCCACACATAGTAATGGTGTCTCTGTGCACACAGAAGTACACATCCACACACAGTAATGGTGTCTCTGTGTACACAGTAGTACACGTCCACACATAGTAATGGTGTCTCTGTGTACACAGTAGTACACATCCACACATAGTAATGGTGTCTCTGTGTACACAGTAGTACACGTCCACACATAGTAATGGTGTCTCTGTGTACACAGTAGTACACATCCACACATAGTAATGGTGTCTCTGTGTACACAGAAGTACACATCCACACACAGTAATGGTGTCTCTGTGTACACAGAAGTACACATCCACACANGTCATTTACTGACTTTTAATAACTTTTAATGACTTTTAAAAGTCATTTACTTTGGTTCCAGAAGACCTGCAGGTCCTGAGACCCCCATCAATAAATCACAAAGTATTTTTAAAACCCAGAACCTCTGGTGGGTCAGGTCAAACACAAGCTGTGGTCCTGGTCCAGTACCCTGCAGGATCTGAACCATAAACAAGAGGTCTGTACCCTGCAGCTAACAGCAGCTAGCATCAGCTAACATCAGCTAACATCAGCTAACAGCAACTATCAGCAGCTAACATCAGCTAACATCAGCTAATAGCAGCTAACATCAGCTAGCATCAGCTAACAGCAGCTAACAGCAGCTAGCAAAGCATTATCTAATGAAACTCATCTTTTAAAAACTCTAATTTAACAAAAGAGAACAAATCAAGTGAAAAACAGACGTGCAGTTAAACCATGGCTCGGTCCAAACCTGAGCCAGAACCAGAACCAGTTTGTGTTGTTTTCCACTGTGTTTTCACTTGTTCTGATTCTTTCTCTTCTCACTGCTTTTCTGACTTGGTTTTATTTTTTTAATTTTACTTTTTGTTTCACTTACTGAGTTAAATAAATAACTTCTTTATTTTGACCAGAAATGATCCTCAGTTACATTTATARGAGTTAAAGTTTAGTGTTTGTTTCACAGGTTTTATTTAAAATACTTGATGAAACTAGAAGTTTTTTAATTTCACATATTTGTATAAATAAACAACTATATTTACTTATTTATTAATGAAAACTTAAAAACATCTGATGAAGCTAAAGGGTTTGTTTAAAAACAACTTATTTTTTGTTAAAATAAACCACAAACATTCATTATATTTATTCTGTTTTTAAGTTAAACTAAATAAAACCTGTAAAAGTGTCTGGAACAGACTCCCAGCTGAACCGGGTGAATATTTTTTATCGTTTTTGAACAAATAAAGTTGTAAAAAAAAGGACCTCCCTGGAAACAAGCTGACGGTTGGCATCTTCTCGAAATCTCGCGGAATCTCGCCGCCTCCTCCGGGCTGCAGCCTCGTCTCACCGAGTCTCGCGAGAGCAGGCTCGGCTCGAAGTTCTGGAGTGTGGATGGTTCTTATCTGTTTAACGCCTTAAAGTCGCCGCGGACGATGAACTAACAGCTCGTCGCGGCTTCACGGCGGATCTCACCGCGACGGGAGGAGGAAATGTAACTTTCTGCACGAGTTCAGGTAAAGACGTGACTTTATTTTCACGGTTTGTGGTGAAACGTTGGTGAAATGATGGGGAAAGTTGTGTAAAAAGTGCTTGTTTTGACGTTTAAAGCTGAAGTATGTTACGTAAACGACGTAAAGTGGCGTAAACGCTGTCAGGGAAATGATTTGTGGACATATTTGGGGGTTAAAGTGGCTCCTAGGTGTAGTTGCATCACAGCTGGTACTGGTTCGGTACCGGGAGGAAGAGGAGGAGGGAGGAGGAGGTGATCCGGTAACGTGTGCGTGAAGGCAGAGATGCTTGGAGGCCACGTCCCCCTGGAGACTGGAGACAAACACGTGATGAGCTTTACTGATCAGGTTCAGAGACACACCGAACCCCCCGGAGCCGAGCCGAACCCAGCCGAACCGCCCCATCGAAGCCCGTCCTGTGAGGAGAGGAGAGGAAGAGGAGGAGGAGGGAGGAGAGAGGAGGAGGAGGAGAACCGGAGTAAAGTTTGTCCAAGTTTGCACATCCCTTCGGAAACGCCATTTTGATTCCTCTCCTCTTCGGAGCCAGTTCGCAGCCTCCTTCCTCCCTCCTTCTTCTCCTTTTTTTATTTTATTTTTCACTTCATCACTCCTCGCCTTCATCACCCTCCTCCTCCTCCTCCTCGCCACGATGTCTCGGCACCAGCAGCCCGGCCCGGACCAAGTCCAGCGTAAGTCCGCGCGTCTCCATCGCCTCTCTGCCTGCGACCTGTTGCTCCCTCCTGGGCAACAAGTCACCTCCTGTCCGGGCAAACTTTCTGCTGGGAGGAGGAGGAGGAGSAGGAGGGGGGCGACTCTTCCTCCTTTTTTCTCCTTTTCGCCCCCCTCCTCCTCCTCTTCCTCAGTGTTGCTTCCTAGTTTGATGCGCATCCAAGCGGTGGAATTCAGCCGCGCGCCTCTTCCTCATTCAGCTAATTATCGCTCAACTGTTCGGATTTTTCACTCCGCGTGCACGGCTGAGCCCCCGCGTGCACGGCCGGGGCTGTTGTTCGGTTGTTGCCTCGCGGGGAGGGCGGCTGGGGGGGACAC